AAAATTCCAATCTACAGTGTCATAAGCCTTCTGGAAATCAACTTTGATGGCACACTTAGGTAGATAGGGTTCATGGTGAAAGCCTGCAAATAACTCCTGTGCGAGGAGTATATTGTCTCCTATTCTCCTACCCTTTACAAAAGCATTCTGCTGAGGACTTATAATTGACGGCAACACAGCAGCAATTCGGTTAGCCAGGATTTTGGCTATACACTTGTAAATTGTATTACAGCATGCAATTGGTCTAAAGTCGTTCATTCCCGTGGCATTTGAAACCTTGGGGACAAGTGTAATAATAGTGGCATTGATCTCCTTTAGCATGCAGCCTAACTGAAAAAAATCCTTAATAGCCAATATAACCGACGGCCCAACGACTTGCCAAGAGGAGATAAAGAAATCAACATTGTACCCATCCGGCCCCGGGGCCTTACCTTTGGCAAGGGAGAAGAGAGTCTTACGAATTTCGGACTTCGAGACCTCCTTGGATAACAAGTTGATTTGTTCACTACTGAGAGTACGAGCCACCATAGGCCGGATGTCAACATAGGAAGGCCTATCAACAGAATCTCTTGCGCATACTAGAGTCTGAAAATGCGAGATAATATGGTTATGGACTAATGTCGGGTCTGAAAGGAGGACACCATTAGAGTCCGAGACGGAGAGGATGCGGTTGCTATGCTGCCTCTTGTTGACGAAATGATGAAAATATTTGGTGTTCAAGTCCCCATCATTCAGCCATCTTATCCTCGATTTTTGTTTGTAAAAAGCTTCCTCCTGGAGACGTAGATTGGAAAAGTTGAGAAGCTGCTCCTTTTCTAGGTTCGCCAGATCCATATTAGAAGGATCACAAGCTAAGGAATCTTGGGTGGACGTAAGCATCTCTCTTGCTTGAGCTGTGCGGGCCGAAATGTCAGAGAACGAGTCTCTATTCAACTGCTTCAGTCTCCCTTTTAGAATTCTGAGTTTTTGGCACAGCCGGAACATTGGAGTTCCAGTGATCTGAGACTCCCACACTTGCTTAACAATATCCGGAAAAGCCTGATGAGATAGCCAAAAATTGAAGAATTTGAATGGCTTTCTCGATGAGACTGCATTTTCAATTCTGATGATCATCGGGGAGTGATCAGAAACTCCAGAGGCCAAGAAGTTTGCCTCGGAGTAAGAGAACGACCTGGTCCAGTTAGCATTAATCAGCACCCTATCAATCTTCCTTTGCTTGCGATTTACTCCCACTGCAGTTGACCAAGAGAACCGGTGGCCAATATATCTCAGGTCATCAAGACCAGCTTGGTCCAAACAAATGCCGAAATCATCAAAGGCTGGCAACCATGCGTTAGAACTACCCATTCTATCAGAGTTGTCCCTTATAGCGTTAAAATCCCCGGCAACCAGCCAAGGTTCATTTTCAAACAGACTACTTGAAAGCACAAGATCTGCCCAAAGAGCACGGCGAGCCACAAAAGTATGCTCTCCATAAACAACCGAAAATAGACAAGTCTTATTTAGTGCCAACAAACGAACCCGACCATGGATAACTTGGGTGGTTCTAGAAAGGACTTGGAGTTCTATTTCTTGCGGATTCCACCCAATCCATATTCTACCACGCGGCGAAAGATCATAATTGGTCTTCCACTCCCAGCCCGGCACGAGTCCAACGGAGAGGGATTCAAAAAGGGTCGGATTAATCTTTGTCTCAAGGATGCCAAGACAGGATATATTGTGAGCTCTAACGAGGGCTCTTATTTCTGCCTGTTTAATGGAGTCGCCCAGACCCCTAATATTCCATACGCCAAAAAACATTAAGGAAGGGTCTAGAGAAATTACCTCCTTTTAGTGCCAGCCCGTTTTTTTGGTTTACGGCTGGCCGCCTTAGCAGTTGTGGGACTGCTCTCTTGAACTGGGCCCCTAGTAATAGGCACAGGATGGTCTTTGGTAGCAAGATCAGCATCATCCATCGAGATTGCAGCCAAAGAGTCGGCCACTCCAGAAGTAGAGGGATGGCTAGCTGGCACTTCGGCTTGATTCAATGGAGCTTTGCGTTGAGTTATAGTCGGGAGGGGGGAGGGAGACTCATCCTCAGATTCACTATCAACATTGCTACCATGATCACCTATCTGGTCTTCCGAGTTAGAGGAATCCGGTGAGGTTTCCAAAGAGGTCGCTGCATTGACCTGGTGGGTTTGGCGATCCCCTTTTTGAGAAATCTGGAGGGGGACCGAGAGATCACCACTATCAGGGGAGGCATTATTTACTGAAATATTGCGGGGAATGCCCTTTTTGTTTCTCACCGTCTGCCATGAATCAGCATTGTGAGGGGCTTTATCAGCACTAATAGGAGGACTAGGCTCTGTGGAAGGCCCAGATGGTATCACACTTGTGGGAGGACATTTGTGCCCAAAGATGCCACAAGTCGTGCACGAGATTGGGCGCCATTCATATTCAACCTTGATCTTCCAGATTTCCTCATTCATATAAATGTCAATGGAGTCAGCCAGATTTTGTGTAGCACTAATTTCGATGCACACTCTAACGTATGATATCATCTTCATCTTCTCTGTTTGAAGGTCAACATGAAGAGGTTTTCCGATTGCACTGGCAACAGCACTAATACCAGTAGCTGACCAGAGGGAGACAGGCATGTCCCTCAACTTCACCCAAATCGGAAGAGACTTATGCTGGTCTTTCACTAGTTTCAGAGTAGGATGCCATTGCTGTAACATCATGGGGACTCTGAGAATGGTTATAGGCCCCCCATCCAGAATTTTCCGACGATAGAATTCGTCCGGAATGTGGAAAAAAAAAAAAAAAAGAAACCATCAGCATTAGCTAAGACTTCAATAACATTTGACCCCCAGACATTTTTTATTGCTGTTTCTGTCAACTTGAAGGGGAGTTTTTTCCCCACAAAGTATCCAACGATACATTCTTTCCATTTCGGATTAGCTTCTTCCAATATATGATCAGATATTCTAACAACATGTTTGCCATCAACAATAGTTGGAGGTATAAAGGAGAGGCCATACCCCTTTTCCATCGTTCTAGCAACCATCGCCCATGATTTCTGGGTTATTTGCTGCTTCATTCCCTGAGGGGGGGTCCTTGGAAGATGCTGCCCCTTTGCTTCGGCTTCGATGAGATCGGTCACTTGGAGGGACTAAGGCGATCCCAGCATCAGAAGGGCGTCTGTTGGACCTGGAACGGCCCCTACTTCGACCCCGAGAATTTCGTTGCTCATGATGAGCCACATATACAGACTTTTTCTTTGGTTGAACAGCAGGTTGCTCTGTTTTCCCAGAATGGTCAGATTGGGCACTGACTCTAGACGGGCCAGCATTGTGTGTGGGAGGCTTAGAAGGTCCCTTCAGCGGGACAACCTGCTCCATGTTTCCCTTCAGACGCGGTAAGGGATCCCAGAACTTTGCTTTTCAGTCATGGTCAGCTTTGGAGGAGGGGAGCCATATAGCAGATGGTACGATTCAAACCCAGTCGAGCAGCACCCAGCTCAGATTCTGGGTAGAGTCAAGTAAGGATTCTACCCCCGTCTTAAAGATTCAACCCACCCCCGGACTAGCGTAATGCAGAGGATTGAACCGAGAACCGGGAAGAATCGCCCGGATAATCACCCAAAACCGACGTAAAGCCGTAAAACCGAAACCCAAATTTCCAGATCTGTTCTCCCGAGTAGCAGACACAAAGATCTCTAGATTCAAGCGGGAGAAAGTGAAAGGCTAACCTTGCGAGTCTAGCCACCAAGTTACAGCCACAAACGGTGGCTGGAACACCCCAGGAGGCGCACCTTCTAGGCGAGTGAACAGTACCGCGAAAAGCAGAAAACGGGAGAGAAAGTGAACAGTACCCGCGTGATCAGGATCAGAAGCGGGAAAATGTGAAAAGTTTCTCTCTCTCATTTACATGCTTCATAAAACTAAAAAACTCCCACATCACGATAGTTTGTAGCGGCTATTTGTGTTTTTTTTTTTTAATGACTCTGATCTAAATACAAAAGGATAGGTTCCCGTCAACCCAGCTTCGCCATTTTTCCTCACCGTTATTTCCCAATACATGCTCCTTCTCAACTTATTGAAAAATAATATGCACGAGTCGTGTTTAGAAATTTTATGTTAGCAATATTTTTCCGATAAGCAAGATGAAGGGAGAGTAAGGAAGAGAGAGATAGAGAGAGTGCGTGTGTGTTTTGCATTTTATGTTATTACTTGAGTGAGTAAGAGACTAAGGCTCCATTTGTTTCGTGAATCTTCGTTTTCCGACGTTTTGATTGCTTAAAAAAATGAGTTAATGGAAAATCTTTTCATTGTCAACGGAAAAACTCATGTTTAAATTTGAACATAATACAACTATACATCGACGCTTGGACCAGAGGCCTCAGCGCTTGGGCACTTGAACCCTAACGCCTATGTGCAGGTCCTCGACAGCCTGGCTCTTGTCCTAGAGGCGGGACCTGGGTCCACAAAGACCACGCCTGAGTCCATAAAGGCCAAGCTCGGGATCCTAATACCCATATCCAGGTCTTCGGCGGCCGTGCCCGAGACCCTAGAGCCCATGTCCCGGTCCCCAGCAGCTATTCCCAGGTACCCGGCTCCCGACTTGGGTCTATCAAGGTTGGGTGTAGTTCCTCGATGGCAAGGCCATGGTCCATAAAGGATGGACCAAAGTTCCTTAAGGTTGGGCCTAAGACTTTGGAAACCATGCTTGGGTACCCGACTATAGTGCCCAGGTCACTAGCGCTCGAAATCAGGCCTAGTCCAGCGCCCTGCCTTGAGACCCAGTCTGGCACTTAGGCTTGGGTCCACAGAGGCTCTGGCACCTAGGCTTGGGTCCACAGAGGCATGGCTTGGGATCTCAGTACCCGTGCTTGGGTACTCAACCGCCATGCATTCTTGCCATTAAAGACAGAGATTCCTCATTGCCACCATTAACATTTTACACAGTGGCAATGGAGACGACCACATTACTTCAAAAAAGCATCCACCAAGTCATGGTCTCTTTAAATCTTGTCTGGTGGCATTCCAAATTTGCTTGAAACAGTTCTCATTCTTTTGCTACAACAGTTACAGGAATACGAACCGAAGTAAAACTAACAATTGTCCACGTTGGTTGAGATTAACAATGTACAGAGAAAGTAGCCAAAAAAAATTAATAATTAGATACAGAAGTCACGAACATTCGCTCATGTCTATTTTTGTACAACTGAGCGAGTCATCTGTGAGGAAACTTTCTGCACATCGCTGAACTTCTCAAGACTTGCATCAGTACCTCGAGTCAGTTAATTGGGAAGACGACAAAATACAGGTACAGATTATTCCCCTCGTGCCACTCCGAGATACATCCGGGTAAAATGTCAGTGTAACCACAAGATTAGGCGCTTTCTCAAGCTTCAACCGTAGATCCAGATTCTTTCTTGTCCATTCCAAAGAAAGAGCAATTTTGAAATGCATCCAAACTGTTGGCCATCAGACGGTTCAAGCTACTGAGACTGTCACTCAAAATTAGATCTTCTGCATGGTACTTTGAAGATGGTACATCCAAATCCAAAGGTCCTAAAGAGTCGGGCTGCAATGGGTGGAATATTAAGTTTATTAAAAGAGAGCATCTCAATGCTACTAGATACCATAAGAAAAGATTCTGCATCACTGAAGCGTCATATCCATGAGCAAAATGACATTATGTATCAGCACAATTTCCTTTCCTACACGTTAAGGCAATCTTGGAACTCCAGAAAGAAAGAAAAAAAGTAAATAAATGCTGGTAAAGTCGAGCAACCTCTGCCTTTCTGTGTGAGCTGGCGTGGGTTTATGCATCTGAGAGAGAGAGAGAGAGTATACCCAATAAATATCTGTCAGCCCAAAACCATCTTTCGCTGTATTCTCCACAATATGTTGATCTTGTGGCTGACACTCATCCATAGGGTCAGCAGGATCAATATCGTAAGTAGCTTTTTCCGCTTGCCGTAATTCCTGCAAAGCAGATATGATGAGTAATACAGCCATCTTCTTTCTTTTTTTCGTCTTTTTTCCATTGGAGAGAGATACATCAATCTTCACTTTAGGAAGCAGAAGTCCTCTTTATAGATCCAAAAGTATTACCTCAATGGAGCCGTCCAAGCCCACAGGACCTGTTCTAATCTGTGCACTGGCTTCAGAATGAGTGGCAGACACAGAAGTGACCTTATGAACAGCAGCATTCTTTTGGAATGAGAAGGCATCACAAGTTTCTTCAGCATCCCATATGGATGTTGCATGGGACAATAAGGTCGACTCAGATCCCATCTTGTTTTGATATCTAGAAATATGAGCGGCTATAGCAGCATCAAATGAATCACAGCTAAATGACATCTGTGGCATGCACTGAGGACTTTTGGCAGCTACTCCTTCATCGTCACAGTTAACATGCAAGTCATAAGATGCTTCAAGTAAATCTCCTATGCTTATATTGGTGAGACTATCAGCCCACTCACAGGCTGACACTGATATATTGTTGCCGGATCTCAGTTCATCCTGCCAAGTTTACAGGATTAGTTCACTCAAAACATGCACACAAATTGCAAATTCCAACAGCAAAGGTACTGTGGTCGGAAACAGATTGTGTTAGAATGATCTAACAGTATGAATGTATACAAATCTGTGACAAATTAAAAGACATTCCACTTACTAAGACAAACATTAAAAATCCGACAAAAAATTTTCTCATATCAGAGGAGTGGAGACAGTGCCTCTGCACTTAAACTAGGGCCAAATACGCCAACACTATCCCATCCATGTGCGTGGTCCTCTACATTTTGGTGACAGAATGTGAAATGTGGACGAGAGAGGAAAGGAAAGAATCAACTTAGTGGGCCCCCAAAAAATAGAAAAAAGAACAGTATAAACCCTGAAGATAAAATTGAGTGCATTAGCCCAAGTTAGGCAAAAATTTAAGCTTCAAATGTACAAGGTTAGCACCCAAGAACTTTCCTAGTCCATAATGCAATGAGGTTGATGTGAAAATTTGCACTAGGAAAAGGCCACTCTGCTAGACTAAAATTGATGTACTAGACCTTATTTTTTACCAGCCTGTCATTTATATGAGTTGCAGCTATATTAGACAAATACCGATAACAACATAGGGGCACTAAATGCAAAGCTCGAAATTGCTAGAAGTATCTCATATGACAGAGAGCATAGGAACAAGTAAGATTTATTACCCCATCATTCAACTGTCTCATAATCCCACCACCTGTCTCATTTGCATAGCACATTGCATCAGTACCAGTAGTAGATGGTTTCATAAGATCACTCTTCGAACCTACGGCAACATAACCACTTCTCTCTTCGGAAACAATTGAGGGACATGCAAGACCACCGGTAGCACTCACTGAAAGCAGTTGATCCTCATAGGTATGTCCGACCTTCTCAAACTGATGATTAGCTGATGGAGGAATTTGTTCAGAATCCAAAGTGCTGTTACACGCCATAACAGACTCCCTGGGGAAGCACGGTGCTTGACGTTCTTGAAATGTTGTCGAACTTAACTCATCCTTGGAAAACCAGCCATACCTTCAAATAGTACTATATGTTAACCACAAGTAAAAAAATAATGTGAACTAGCATCTTGCAATCAAATTTAGGGGAAGGACCTTAAGCGGAACACCGCGGGATTCTCCAGAACTGTGTAAACATCTGCTGCACTCATAGCTGTATCCTGGGTCCATCTTTGACAACCAACCAATTTCTCCCTTTCAACACCATATGGACAAAGCATTAGCTCTCCACATGCTACACTCGAACTTCCCCATTTGCGATTCAGATGCTCCATGACTGATGATATTTTCTTACGATTACTGAGAGTGAGCTCAAGGAAGGGATTATGATTATCCTACGAACATGGAAATACATTTTTCATCAAACACCTAGAAGAAGGGACGATATCAGACAAGTCAACAAAGATTCCAAAGATACAAACCTTCTCCAAGCTTCTTCTTGTGGCATCATCAATCGGAAATAATTGAAGTTTTAGTTTCATAGAAGCTTGTAAACTGCTCTCTACAAATTGGTTCTTCGAGAAACAAGGAAGAGGTGGAAGATCTTCTCCAGTATGATCAGAACCGTTTTGCTCTAGTAGAAGACAGAGAACCAGAGTCAGAAAATTAGGTCTTACTTCTTAGATTAATATTCTGTCAAGTGAATTAACCAGGAATAACTCACTTGGAATACACTGGTCATTTTCAACCTCCTTACTAACAGCAGTTCGTTCCAAATGCTCTGCAGCATCAGCAACCAATGAAACCCCAGCTATGGCAGCCTTTTCCCACTTTTTATATGCAGCAGACGAGACAGCACCACCTGAAATTAGTAGCAAAAATCAGCAAATGTTTTCAGTTAGGCACTAAAGACACATTGATTGACTGATAAAACTCATCAAAAAAGAATGTTGCGCTATTATTTTGGCAAGAATCGCTCTCAAGCTAATTCCTCATCAGCATTTTCACCCACCCCCACCCCCCGCGCCCTGCGGTCAATTATGCTATCCATAAAGGCGCTGGCATGGCAACATGGATATAGGACCGGAACTTGCCCTGAATCAACTAAATTTTGGAAGCATAAACGTGTAAGGAGCTAAGAATGTGATCATACATGTAGAACTAATCTTAATAGATAAGAATTATAATCCACGAACTAGATTGAAAAGCCAGTACATAAATGAGTAAATAAGAGCAAGTCATTTGAATGGTCATTCTGCCCAAAAATATGGATGCAATTAAAACATGACAGACAACATATTTTGCAAATAAATGCTTCTCCTCCATGCCAAACAATAAGAGCCAGATATAATCTATGTGGAAGAACAAAGACACATACCCGGTTTTCGTCGCTGTCTTGCTGGCTTCATTGTTGTAGATTCTACCTTGCCATTGCCACGGTGGACAACATTTAAGGGGCGCTTCAATGGTGGCTTTCCAGATCCTAATTTCTGTATATTCTGACTGTCAACTAGAACCAGTCTGACTGCACGACTGTCATGTCCAGATGTTCGACCATGACTTGAAATAGTGCTCGGAGAAGAACAATTCTCCCCTTGAGATCTTTTCCTCACATTCTTCTTCCTGTCTTTCAGCAGTTGATGTTCCTTCCAAGGAAAATAATATACATCCGGTAAGCACATGAAGAAACTGAAACCTTTCAAATTCATATCAAGCTAACAGACACGATGAACACAACATATCCAGAAGTAACTAACCAAAGCTTCTACAAATATCTTGAACCTCCGGGGCTTCAAGTGAAGCTTCGATGCTTTACAGCTATACTTCTCCAGCAAAGACCACCTATTTAAACAAATCACATAGTAATTTTCGTGATCAACTCATCAGCGGTACAATTTTAATTACAGCAGAAATGTAGTATACACAAGTTAATTATCATGAATGCCAATGACATAGTAGAAGCAGACACCAATACCCTTTAGCCATATGCTCAAGAAAAGATTTTCTAATGTACATGCAGGCCCCCAGGGAACTAATGGCTAATGTAACTGCAGTTACCCAAGAACATTATGACCAACAATCAAAGCAAGGGATGAAACTTCCCATCCTTTCCCTCTCTTTTTTTTTTTATTTTTGGTCCGATCCTTTCGCATCCTTTCCCTCTTGAAAAGGTCAATTCGTGGAAAATATTTGTGAAATAATTAAATTATGCACTGCTTCCCAGCTAGCATTTCGAGGAACTGATTCAAATTTAAAAAGATATCATAGAATGGTATAAGTCTCCATTGAAAAGAAAGGAACAGATAGTAGGTTAAGTTTACCATCTAAGCATTGCAGCATTAGTATCCTTAGAGTTCTTGGCATCAAGACACAATCCTGGACCCAGTAGTTTGTTCATACGCCTAACAAGGCGATAATAATAATGTCTGACCTGCATACAGAAAAAAAGGATATATTTTCTAAATACTACAGGAGATAGTAGCACTTTTCAATTGTCCAACGTAGTCAAAATTAGTTAGTCAAGCATGTACCTGATCCTTGTTTTTACTTTGCACGCGGCAAGTGATCTTCTCAAAATTCTGCACATGATATATTAATGTAACAAGGAGAGCGATAATTAGAAAAATAGAAAAAAAAAATCACGTTCTAAAAGGTATAGACTGCAACACACCTTGCCAACTTGACGCAATGCAGCAAAGAAACTTTCCTCCTCTTGACGTGTCCAAGCAGCCCATTGCCGTGTAGGTCTTTTTGCTGCACAGGCAGTAGGCACTATCACTAAAGGGAGAACTTCCTGCTTTCCATCAGGCGGGATTTCTTTCAAAATTGCAACAATGAACAAGAAGTACAGTCAAGCATACCAGGTTGCTGTGTCAAAACAGGAGCCGTGGTGGAAGCTGTTAGACCTGCACCTCCATCCTGAGTTACATGACTCTCTGGATGAAGGTTGGTCTCGGAGTCTAAGGAAATCTGCACCTCTGACTGCATGATTAAGTCATAAATAAAAAAAAGACTTAATTCTCTTCAGCTTCCATATACTCTCTCAGGGTGCTTTATTGGCCCTTCAACTAGCGAAGAGTCCAAACTCAGCAGCTCTATACAGCCAGCTATAAAAGAAGCTCCGCACCAACAGATCGCAGGAACTGAGACAAAACAAAGAACGACAAAATAAGATTCCAAGGAACTCTAAAGTCATGCATACCAAACAAGTAAAAGGACAATTTTCATTAGCACAATCACCTCCTTGATACTTCTCCTTCCGAGTCAATTCAGGCCAAGAGTAAAAAGAAAGAAGAGATCGTGACTAATTAAAACTAGGCATAATTTCACCAATTTTGCAGTCCTCACAGATGAATGAATCCTTTAATGCTAACAGGCCACAAATTTCATCAGCCGAGGTGTATATCTTTATTCGTATTCTTCTTCCCCATAGCTGCCATGAACAAGATTATTTTACCGATCTTTCTAGTTAGCTCCACTTCGATCAGCAGTTCAATTCGCAAGCATATTTTAAAACGGCTTCAAGAAAATGCTGTGGAGATTAAAAGATCCAGCAGATCAAGCTACTCTGTCCATCTTAGGTTTCTCCTCCTTCTCCTAGTATCCCCTGGATGCAGTTTTCTTCAGACGCTCCTCTAACACATTAGAGTTCTAGTTGTGAATTTCAGAAACCTAGGAAATGCTCAAGTCATTTCGATGGTGAGTCAATGATCTTAGAAACACAGTACTTCCATTAGCCCCAATTTCAGCCCATGCTAAAAGAAACCCTAATCACCTGGAATTCAACCTACAATCTTGCATTGACCACGAGATCAATCGAATCCATCCTAGAGAATAAGCAACCAACCAAGCCCCGAATAATTAACCAATCTCCATCCCGATCCACTTTCTACGTGAACATCAGAGCAAAACTGCATCCCTCCATACCGTCGCTGCTTCGAAACAAATTCCAGATCTGACTGCAACACAGCTACGACCCCCACAAAACCGCCTCGCCCAATTTCACGCGAACCCACAAATTTTCAAACTTTCTAGATTTTCGCAGCGGCCCAACAGAAGCTAGGGCTCCGGAACGAGGAATCAACAGCGCGACAAGTCGAAATCTTCAATCGAACGAAAAACGGGACAAGAACTCGACGAATTCAAGCCGAAAACATTACCTGAGACCGAGATCGCGAGGCTCCGACGACCCCCAGGAAGATCAGCACCGGCAGGAACGAGCTCCGAAATCGCCAAGAACAACGATTTGGGAAGCGGCGAGAATCTACCGGCGAACGCTACAGTGGAGGGGGAAGGAGATGGAAGGGGAAGGAGAAGAAGCAAGTACTTTTTTTTTTTTCTCCCTTTTTACTTTGCCGGAAAATTAAAAAACAGAAAAGCACGAAAAAGAAGAGACCTTGTTTGAATAAAAATTCTCTCCTTTTTTTTTCTGGGTAAAAGCTGGGTTTATTGACGAAGATGATGATGATGATGGCAACATAGGGGACTTTGGTTTTGGCTTTTTGGTAAGTATTCCTTTCCTACACGGGGTAAAACATAACTACAAAGTACAAACATGACATGCAACTCAGAAATGCCCCCCAAATTTGGGCTATTTTTCTCTTTTTTTTCCTTTTTTTAAAGGAATATTAAATTAATTCAATAGATGTCATTGCAAAAAAAAAAATCAACAGATGTCATTTGTTTGTGACCTAATCGTGTCAGGAGAGCCCAGTTTGGTGATGGGGTGTTGTTAACTTTTTTTCATGTTTGAGTGCTGTGTTGTACACAACCAGGTGGGTACACCTCTTCTGCAGGTGGGTGACATTAGCACTGCTCAAATTTTGAAATTCAAAGTGGCATGAGGGGGGTGCTTTGGGAGGAAAATGGATCTTTGCTGTGTGCCCAAAATAATGAGACCTGGTGTGGGAGTGAAACTGCATAAGCAATTGAGGTTAGGAAATGGATCAAAGTTAGAGAAAGTTAAAGATTGATGATTGTGAAAGGAAGTTCTGTGGTGCAGAGAGTAGCAGATTGGATTAGAAGCAGAAGGAACCTTTCAAAGAAAAAAAGAAGAATAAAGTTGGTAAAATGGCAGAAGGGGCATAATGGGAAATGCGGAAATTTATGCCCAGAAAAGCAAACGAAAAAAAAAAATGGAGAGTTGTTTATAGTGAGGAATATGTTATGGACGATACAAGGCCCCAGAAGGTTTCATGTCTCTCCACAAGTTATCATCACTCATTGGGGCAAACAATCAAAAACATGTGACCAACCAATGGCCCAGCTCTTCTTGAGTAATTGACCTAAGCAGACTTTGTCGAGTGCTTCAACATAAGTTGCTGGCATGGAGAGGCAATTTTTACTTATTAACCCACAAAATGAGGGACCATGCGGGGGAATAGTTAGCTTTCTAAGAAGAAGCATTCTTTGTCACTTTCAAAGCTTTTTGGAATATCCTCCTCCCAAATTGTTATAAACTGAATTTTTGCAGAGACTTGTCCCACGTTACGTCCTTCTCTCTCTACCTTCTCCTGGCAATTTGACTTGGACATCAAAAGGTACACAGGAAGGCTCTCCATCACCCCCACCCACCCTTTTCCAATCCCCAAAACTTTAACTGGTGTGCTACTATTTGCACTCATTGACTGCTATTGAGCATTTTTTACCGGACTATACTTAACCGATTTACCAGAATAGTTAGAAGGGAAAGAAATCGGTAAAGAGATAATCATTATCGCGAAAAAAAAATTCCGATAAATTGTTATCACGACATTACTATGAGATGAAGAAAATCAAAATAAGTAGAACCCTCATCTGTAGAATAAAAGAGAAAATCGTTCATTTCAATACTTCGATGGTTGCATAATTTAAATACTCAGTATTACATTAAGAGGTTCTATCCATAATGAGTAAAAGGTAGATTACAGATTGCCGCCTCAACTTATGGCGGAGGGTGAAAAATCAATGGAAGAATATCCACATTTGTGGGATGATAGACAGCCTTAACCGTTGTTCTGCCCTTCCAAACAGCCACTAACCACAGCTGACTATTATTAGTAGTCACCCTGATGTCTTTGCCCAGATTCAAAAAATTCTTCTCTTGCATGCTTTGGCTGCTCGATTACATTTCCACAAGATGATGCATTCAATTCCTACTATCCTTGCAAATATGTATTTCTTCCGAGAGATCTTCACTGATAATGCATTTCAATCCCTATTATCCCAATGGCTCCAATCCAATGATCTGAATAATTCTCCTGAGATTGAGCATAATGCCATTTTCACTGCATTTCCATAACAAACATTTTCATTCGCCATGGTTTGGTTGGGATGCAAAACCGCAGTAATGGCAGGGTGCCTTCTTGTTGCTCCAGATTCAAGCCTCCTTGCAGACTAGCCTGTGAAATCAAACCACTTTCACTGGGACAAACTCACTCAGTAGCTGTGTATCAGTCAATCCCACATCTTTACTGCTCATTGTTTGATTTCAAGAGCATCAGCCTATACATAGGGGCCCCACGATCTAGAACATGTTGTTCCCAATCTGATCTAATTCCAAACGGGTTCTCCTCTAGCCACCCTCTATTTATAGTGGTATCTTGTGCCTGCGAAATTGAAAGCTTCCCCTTGCCATATCTCAGAAATTGTTCTTTCATCCTTACAGCAACCGCTTCAACGTCAGATTGTAGAAATACCTAGACATACGGAGAAAATGTCAGATGAAAGTCTGAAACATAGTTGGGTGAAAGAGATCGATATTCTTTTAGCTTTTAATATGACAGAAAAGAACGAACAAGAATTTCTTAAGCCGGTTTCCTAGAAGATACAATCTGACTCCTCATGAAAACAAAATTGTCCAAACATTTGTGTACAATTCAAGAGCTTAAAAGTGAAGCAGAACCTCCAGTTACCAAAGGAAGCAACTACTTATCAATCTCGTGTAAATATCCGAAGTTATATTTAGAGCACTGCACATTGTACATCTTCATACAGAGACACTTTGAGTTTCAAATATGATGCAACAGCATTTTTTTGGGCCATCCAATGCATCTGCCGTTGCATTATTAGTTACTGTATTAACAGGAATGAAAAGAAAAGGTCAAAGCTCCTACTTGAAATCAAATTCTAAGATTTTTAACTAATTTTATCAGCAGCAATTGTTACCTTTCCATTAGGGATGAGGAGATCAGCAACTGCTTCAACTAATGATTTTTGAAGCATCCTCCACCGATGTTCTGGTTTGTTAAAGTCAGGGTTTGGGCACTAGATAGAACAAACACATACCAGATAAACCACATAAATAATAACTCAAGAAAAATTGAACTAAAAGAATAAATTGATGTTATTGCAGTTGCTTCTATACTATACTAGGGGGAAAATCTAGACAAAGTGTGGTGTAATCACTACCTGTATTGAGACAAGAATTACATCTCCAGGATAACTGGAGACAATCGAGCAAAATGTGGATGTTGCATTGGTTGCAATGAAGTATCTGAGACAACCACAAAATTTGAGCAACAATCATGTACTTGAATAGCAAATAAAACAGTTAGCATTTTAAAGATTAAACTACATTTCTGGAAAAGATGAACATGACACTCGACATTACTAATTTGCCCTTTTAGTTTGTAGACAATATGACTTGTGTGTCTCCACTGATCATAAAAATTCCTGCATTTGACAGCTGCGAGCTGATGCTGTGGGTCAACAGGCTAGTCTTTCTAAACAAGATGTCGATGAAGGCAAAGACATCCACTTTGAAAGTTTAATTTCAGGCGTCTCAGATTTTTTTCCTAATTTAACACCCACTAACTTCCCAACTAAGTCACAGACAAATAAAATTGTTAATCAAAGGTCTACTTTGTCCATTCACCCATTGACATCTTTTTATTTAATATTATCCAGTAACTCAATAAACTTATATCAGCAGACTTAGTAACTATAACACCATGAAATCGAACAGGCAAATGCAATGAGATTATTAGCATTCTTCCAGGAGAGAAAACCCAATGTGCCTAATAAAGCTTGAGATAGGCATCCAAATCCATGGGTTATATTATCACAGGAAGAAAGCAAAAATTCACCCACAAGTTCAAAGAGTCATGCATATTTTGAGGTACTAATCACCATGAAAATACAGAAAAGAGAAGTAGAGAGGAACAATGATCTGTAAGACCCGAATTATATATGTAGCTGCCTAAGAGAAGAGGAACCTTATACAGTCAAACAAGTTTTTTTTTGTTCCAGGTGAATAAAATTAGCCTAAACCGACAAAGAAGTAGCACGTACCCATTCTTCAAGTTCGATTGATGGACAGCAATTAAGCAGCGCCGCACAAGCTGAAAGATTAGTATTGAGTAAATTATATGAGAGAAGAAAAAGCGCAAAGCATCTGAAAAACATGTAGACAACCTTCTCATTGATCTCCAAACCAAGAAAATTAAGATGCTCCCACCTTTTAGCCATTCCCAACAGAAATAATCCGTTACCTGAAAATGATGTTCCACACATAAGGGAAATAGAGATTAATGAAACAGTTATTGCAGAATTTATTTCCTGGTCTCCAGATAATTACAGCCTAGAAGGCCATTGGCATTGATTAAATTTCATAGGTCAAAGAAATGGAACATTACAATGAAAGAACTCACTGATATCAATTCAAAAACAAACATCGCATCACAAGGTTAATTTTTTGGGATGCATTCTAAGTCATATCCTGTAAATAGATAGAACTCCACGGGAAAAGTCTGTACAGCTGAAAGTACATGGTGACAAAATGTGCTGTTAAGGTTAGTACTCGTCCTTCTTGCTAGGGTAATTATAGAGCATGAAGTGTGTTGCTAAGATTTAATGGCATGCACTCGTCTGATCAGTAGTATGGAAAACGAGGACTGGATGGACTGTTAATGGAGAACCTCTCAAAGCATGTACAAGTCAGTCTCGGACCACATTTAGATGTGTTAGAAATCATAAACAGTGTCATAGGAGATGTGTACATCAACTGTATAATATTCTTTATTCTTGGGTTTCCTATCTTGTGACACTTGAATATAGTATATATAAATCTGTGCGATCTCCACGACACACGGTTTCTCTCTTCAATCCTTTCTCTCATCATCACATAAATGAACAAAGTACAAGTTTTAGGACTCTAGTGCACAGACACTATAAGTTTTAAGCTTGCGCAATCACAACAATCTTGAATGCGAATCTAAATTTTGGTGCTTACTAATAGAAAATGCCAATTGAGATCACATTTTTAGATGGAAATGAGATAATCTACCTAATCAGGTCTTACAGCAAAAATTTACTCAAGAAAGTGCCTGCACCCACTACATAATGAACTTATCTTTTCTTTTGCTATTGCAACTCCCTTGTCACAAATTGAATAACCTAGAATTTAAGGTTTCTCAAAGCTGCTTGGAAAATTAGAATAATTCACAGAAGCTCCATTAACTTCCAGTATGGAAAAGAATAGATGAAGATACAGATGAAGCATTGACTATCCAGAAAAGTTCCAAAAGGATTTTCGTCCACTTTTCCCTCTACTATCCCGATGGGATATAAAGTGGCTAAGCATAACTAGGTAACTTCCATTAAGTCATTAAGTAAATCCAG